ACATAAACTCTATACCAAAAGTATTGAAGAACATGAAGAAGAAAAGCAAAAAATAATTTTCAAGTTCACAAGCCAATTGAAAGAGAAACATGAACCAGTGAAAAATAATGAGCAAGGTCAAAAAAATAATTATCAGCAATTATTATTAGATAAAGAAAAAGAATATGATGATCTATTGAATAAATTTAACTTGCATACTAAAGAATATAATTTGATGAAAGAAAACTACAACACAGTTATAAAAAGAATAAGCGTAATAGGTGAATGGGTTAATTCAAATATAGACAATAATAATTTATCAAATTTATCAAATAACAAAGTTGAAGATATTGTTGAACTTTTAAAAGTTTTTGATAAGTTAGAAAAGATTATTGAATTAAAAAAAGCAGAATTAGAAGGTTTAGAAATAATTAAAAAAGAAAATAACAAATTGAATGATTTAATCGGTCAAAAAGATTCTAAATTGTTAGAATTGGAAAAAATGATCAAAGAGTTTGAAGCAATTAATGATAACTTAAAAATTGAAAAAGAAAATTTATTAAAAGAACTCCACCAATCAGCAAACAATATAAATAATGCTAATACTAATAATAGCAACCTTGGAATTGGAATTGGAATTGGAATTATTGGTGGAAATATTAAACATTATAAGCAAAAATCCGAACCAACGAAAGATTCTGAATGGACAAATGATGAATATGATGATAATAATGATAATTGTGAGAAATCAGATATTTTAGAATTAGAATCATCTAAAGATGGTAATGATTTTGAGGGAGGTGATTGTGGTGATAATGTTGTTTATGATGATGATGACGATGATGATAATGATAGTGATGAGGATGGTTATGATGATGATGATAGTGCAACATTAGTTGTTGAAGGGATCAATATTATTTATTTAATATCACAATTAACATTACCAATGCAATGTGATCAATACATTGAATGAACTCGACCCTAATAGAATAAATTAAGAATAAAATACAGGGTGTTAAGAAAAAAATGGCGGTTGGTAAAAATATTGTTTTTAATGAAAAGTAGCCAAAATTATATGATGAAAATTATAACAGAGAATTGGAGGATCTTAGATTATAACATATGAAATTTTTGAAGCATGTTATTATGTAGGCTTTAGAGCAATTATTAAAGAAAT